TCGGAAGAATCAAAGGCACATTCCGAGGGCCGACATACACGTGTTAGCGCTCAGAGGCTCAGCCACAGAGCGTCGCAGAGCCGGACAATCTTACCTGTTGGTTTAGGGTTCCTCGGTCTTCCTGCAGATTCTGCAGGGAAGTATTTGCGGTGTCCAGGAACGACTGAGACTCCACAGTCCAGGATCTCTGCAAGACAAGAGGAGCGCTCGCATTGCCGATGCGGGTGCTGGGACATGGGCAGTGGCCAAGAGTCCAAGACCTTCTGGAGAGCTGAGGGTGTAGTCAGTCGCCCCCAATGGAAGTGCAGAGGAACCGCTCTTTGGCCTGGTCTCTAGGCATGAGGCTGCCTAAGTATTGGCAGGGGAACTCCCCGGATCACTAATGGCGGAGACAGGAGAACGCTGCCCCAAGCTGCAGCATATCGGACTGAATCACAAGTTCAGCAGTCCCCAGGCTGAGCCTGTGCAGTGGGCAGAACATGAGGTTTCCAGCATGCTGGCTGGGCCCACAGGGTCAAGAGCAGGGCCAGACACCCACGCAGAGCCCACTACCCTTCCTTACCTGGTGCTCACGAGCCTCCTCAATAAGGGTGCAGAGCTCCCGCTGGGATTCCAATCCCTGCTCTAGGGCCCCGATCCGAGCGCTGGCATGGACACGGAAGGCCTCCAGAACCAGATCACTCTGGGGAGGGGGAGACACGTGCATGTGGGGATTTTAACAGTGACCCACCAGCCTAGTGCCACCATTGCCAGGTGCCCCAGGGAGCCCTGATATCCCCACTGCCGAGGGACGGCACAGCCCCAGCACCCAGCAGCAGCAGGACCCACACGTGGGAGATTCAGCTGTTGAGGTCACGGAGGAAGCACCAGTGCTACACTCAAGCTGCAGGGCAGGGCTCTCCCTCGTGCCTCTCTGCTGAAGCACTGGGGAGGCCTCAGCCGAGTCCTTAACCCCACCCCCTTGTATACGCTGGCCCAGGGCGCAGCTCCCTGCCAACAGGTCATCCAGCACCCTCTTCGAGTGCCAGTGGGACTGGCTGAGGGGGGCTGTCCAGGGCTCCTGCAGAGATAGGCAACCCCACCTATCCACTGGCGTGGCTGCTGCTGAGCTGTGAGGCACCCGCCCCCCGGAGACCC